GAGCAACAAGGGTGATGTTGTAGTGGGTGTCTGCTATAGACCACCAGATCAGGAGGATAAGGTAGATGACTTGCCCTTGGTGAATCCATGGACAATTCGGACAACTAACAGAAGTTTCCAGATCACAGACCCTGGTTCTAATGGGGGACTTCAATCACCCTGACATTTGCTGGGAGACCAATACAGCAGTGCACAGACAATCCAGGAAGTTTTTGGAGAGTGCTGGGGACAACTTCCGGGTGCAAGTGCTGGAGGAACCAACTTGGGGCCGTGCTCCTCTTGACCTGCTGCTCACAAACAGGGAAGAATTGATAGGGGAAGTAGAAGTTGGTGGCAACCTGGGCAGCAGTGACCATGAGATGGTCGAGTTCAGGGTCCTGACAAAAGGAAGAAAGGAGAGCAGCAGAATACGGACCCTGGACTTCAGAAAAGCAGACTTTGACTCCCTCAGGGAACTGATTGGCAGGATCCCCTGGGAGACTAATATGAGGGGGAAAGGAGTCCAGGAGACCTGGCTGTATTTTAAAGAAGCCTTATTGAGGGCGCAGAAGCAAACCACCCCGATGTGCAGAAAGAATAGCAAACATGGCAGGCGATCAGCTTGGTTTAGCAGAGAAATCTTCGGTGAGCTTAAACACAAAAAGGAAGTTTACAAGAAGTGGAAACTTGGAAAGATGACTGGGGGGAGTATAAAAATATTGTTCGAGCATGAAGCGGTGTAATCAGGAAGGCCAAAGCACAATTGGAGTTGTAGCTAGCAAGGGATGTGAAGGGTAACAAGAAGGGTTTCTACAGGTATGTTAGCAACAAGAAGGTCAGGGAAAGTGTGGGACCCTTACTGAATGGGGGAGGCAACCTAGTGACAGATGATGTGGAAAAAGCTGAAGTACTCAATGCTTTTTTCCCCTCGATTTTCACAGACAAAATCAGCTCCCAGACTGCTGCAGTGGGCAGCACAGTATAGGGAGGAGGTGAGCAGCCATCAGTGGTGAAAGAATAGGTTAAGGACTATTTAGAAAAGCTGGACATGCACAAGTCCAAGGGGCCAGGTGCAATGCATCCGATGGTCCTGAGGGAGTTGGCTGATGGGATTGCAGAGCCATTGGCCATTATCTTTGAAAACTCGTGGCGATCAGGGGAAGTCCCAGATGATTGCAAAAAGGCTAATGTAGTGCATCTTTAAAAAAGGGAAGGAGGAGGATCCGGGGAACTACAGGCCAGTCAGCCTCACCTCAGTCCCTGGAAAAATCATGGAGCAGGTCCTCAAGGAATCCATTTTGAAGCACTTGGAGGAAAGGACGGTGACCAGGAACAGTCAACATGGATTCACCAAGGGCAAGTCATCCCTGACCAACCTGATTGGCTTCTATGATGAGATAACTGGCTCTGTGGATATGGAGAAAGCGGTGGATGTGATATACCTTGACTTTAGCAAAGTTTTTGATACGGTCCCCCACAGTATTCTTGCCAGCAAGTTAAAGAAGTATGGGATGGATGAATGGACTATAAGGTAGATAGAAAGCTGGCTAGATTGTCGGGCTCAATGGGTAGTGATCAATGGCTCCATGTCTAGTTGGCAGCCGGAATCAAGCAGAGTGCTCCGGGGTCAGTCCTGGGGCCGGTTTTGTTCAACATCTTCATTAACGATCTGGATGATGGGATGGATTGCACCCTCAGCAAGTTCGCGGATTAGACTAAGCTGGGGGGAAGGTATGTAAACTGGAGGGTAGGGATAGGGTCCAGAGTGACCTAGACAAATTGGAGGATTGGGCCAATAGAAATTGGATGAGGTTCAACAAGGATAGGACAGAAGAATCCCATGCACTGATACAGGCTGGGAACTTAATGACTAAGCAGCAGTTCTGCAGAAATGGACCTGTGGATTACAGTGGATGAGAAGCTGGATATGAGTCAACAGTGTGCCCTTGTTGCCAAGAAGGCTAACGGCATACTGGGCTGTATTAGTAGGAGCATTGCCAGCAGATCGACGGAAGTGATTATTCCCCTCTATTCGGCACAGGTAAGGCCACATCTGGAATATTGCATCCAGTTTTGGGCCCCCCACTACAGAAACGGTGTGGACAAATTGGAGAGAGTCCAGTGGACGGCAACGAAAATGATTACCTGTTACCTCAGTCTCTCCTCATAAATCATGTGCCCATGATTTATGAGGAGAGACTGAGGTAACAGGGTTTATTTAGTCTGCAGAGGAGAAGAGGGGGGATTTGATAGCAGCCTTCAACTACCTGAAGGGGAGTTCCAAAGAGAATGGAGCTTGGCTGTTCTAAGTGGTTACAGATGACAGAACAAGGAGCAATGGTCTCAAGTTGTAGTGGGGGAGGTCTAGGTTGGATATTAGGAAAAACTATTTCACTGGTAGGGTGGTGAAGCACTGGAATGGGTTACCTAGGGAGGTGGTGGAATCTCTATCCTTTGAGGTTTTTAAGGCCCAGCTTGACAACGACCTGGCTGGGATGATTTAGCTGGTGTTGGTCCTGCTTTGAGCAGGGGGTTAGACTAAATGACCTCCTGAGGTCTCTTCGAACCCTAATCTTCTATGATTCTATGATCATTTTAAAAAAAACTTTTTCCAAAAACTTCTGCACAAGAAAATATCTTTTTTTTTGCAAACTGAACAAAGGAGGAAAAGGTTTGATATCAGCAGAAGTAAAGAAGTGTGGCAAAGACAGCTAGGATATGTCAGAGAAAAACAAAAACACAAAGGATAAGGAAGAAAATTTCCTCAAAGGTTTTTAATGACCTCATTTATAATATCACTGGCATTCTAAGATAGAATTATTTCCTTGTATTACTGCTGTTCTCTAAGAACATAACATAAGAACGGCCGTGCTGGGTCAAACCAAAGGTCCATGTCGCCCAATATCCTGTCTTCTGACAGTGGCCAATCCCAGGTGCTTCAGAAGGAATGAACAGAATAGGTAATCATCAAGTGATCCATCTCCTGTCAGCCATTTCCAGCTTCTGGCAAACAGAGACTAGGGACATCATCCCTGCCCATTCTCGCTAATAGCCATTGGTAGACCTATCCTCCATTAATTCATATAATTCTTTTTTGAATCCTGTTAGTGTCTTGGCCTTCACATTATTATTTCTTATATTGTATGATCTAATTGTCTCTTGGCTGCTGTACTTAATGTTAGTCATCTCCACCAGATGACAATATTCCTTTATGTAGATATGCTCTCCATGTAACTGGCATAGCAGCTCTAGAAGAGCCATACTTTATATCAAAGGTACATTTGATATAAAGGGTTAATAAATGGTAAATCATTTGTTATAGTCCAATAGGTTGCTTATGACACCTTGCACTTATGTGCCTATAACCATCTGGAACTTGTATTATTCATATTTGTTACATGCGTAATAACAAACATTAACAATTTATTAACCCTTTATCAACTACTTATAAATGTACCCTTAATATAAAAGTATGACCAAAAGAACCTTTCTAAAAAGCAAAATCCCCCCAATCAGGGAGATCATTAGACCAATCTCCCCATTGCGTGGAGATTTTCACAGAGAACTCATCTTAAATCTTCCCCTTGCCTGACTCAAATATGGGCATTGAATCAAATGATGATTGAGGAGCAACAGTGACACAAGGAAATCTGGTCAATGTTAATGAAATAACTAGTTCTACTTTAGGGTCTAGACAAACTGCATATGTTCTAAGTAGAAATGGGTGCGAATTTTTGACCAAAATTTTTTTTCAGCAAGACATGCAGATTCAGAGGCACTGAAACATTTCTTGAATTAATGTCAATTACCACAAATTGTTTCAATTACCTCCCTCAAAATTCAGAAGGCATAGAAATCCTTTATTTCAACATTTTCTAAATGAAAGGTTTTGATTTTTCAATTCAAAACAACTTTTAGTATAGAAATTTTCTTTTATTTTTAAAAAAATTTAAATGTTAAAAACTACTCAAAATTGAATAAAATGTTTTGTTTCGAGTTGAATAAAACATTTAGATTCAAAATGAATTGTTTTCCTCAACTTTTCTATTTGCAAAAAAAGTAAAAAATATTGTTTTTAAGTCCATCTGAAACAAACATTTTTTCAATTTTTTTCAATTTTGTGGCATTGCCAACCAATAAAAAATTCTGCTATTTGTACACAGACACTCATTCTTTAGTTGCCCATCAGCTGAGTGTACACAAACTATCACCCTAACAAGGGGCAATGCTATTATTTATACTGTGCTGGAAGAACAAGGTCAAATGCCTACAAGGGAAGCTTTTTTCTACCGTGGATTATCCTAGAGAATGTGTTCTCAGAATTGTGTTTCTCATGTAAGGCCATGTAACTTTGCCGTGGAAGGCTCTGTGCAATCATGTTTACCTTCAGAGTTTAAATTCCCAAAGGACTGCAGCTTTATGAGGCATGCTGCACGCATGATACGGTGATTAACATAAAGTGATAAACTTGACGTGTGTTTGTGATAAGAATGTGCCGTATCATAAAATAGCAATAGCATATCCAAGGTAACTCTTGCACAGGACATCCACAAGTCATGTATCATATTTCTTTCACCTCACTAATATTCAAGAAAATGTGACATGAAACATGTCTGGAATGAAATCTGAAATGCTGTGGTATTCCCTCAGACTGGATATTCAACAAAGGTTAACACTCCCTGTATCACCCTGTAAACTGGGTATTGTTTAGCCTTGGTTGAATGAAAAATTATGAAATATTTCAAATTTTTACATCTAATAATTAGAACGATTGACAAAGCTGCAAAACTTGACCACTTATTTTTAAACCAGAAAACACAAAGGATCAATCTGGGGCCTAATCCTGCTAGTTCTTACTCACTCAAATAATCCATATTAACAAATCCTACTGATTTGAATGGGACAGATAACATGAGGGTTCACACAATCATGTCCTTACCTCTACATCTCCCTTTCCAAAAACTATAGATGTTAAACAGAATGTTAGCAAACCAATGTGATATCTCTGCTCGTGAACTCACATAAAAGAATCCCAGGGGCCCAGATATATATGGCATTTTCATTCCCAGCAGATACTTGACTTGTGAAGTCACAACATGCGTAGCTGCTCCTGTTGTCATTGCGCTTATCACCGGTTCCGTCAACAAGAATGTGGCGCTGCCCAAGTGCAGCACAAACATTGCTACCTAAGAAACCAAAGACATATATCAGTGATTACATTAAAATTCAGGTTTCCCAGTGTTAATGCAATGAGAAATACCCTTTTAATAAACCAGAAGATAAATGGCTGTGTTAGCAAATCAAAAGGAGAAGTTTCAGATGCATGCTGTGAAACATGAATATAGCTTAAAGTGAAATACATTAAATCTTTTTGTAAGTTTTGTGACAGGGTCAGTTCAGATGGCTACAGGAGAGTGATAGAAGGCAGATATATTAGCCCCAGGTTAAGTAGATCCCTTTTCCCTGGGTAAGGTAACAGGGAAGAATCCAGAACAATCAGGAACTTTCTGAAAACAATTAAGGCAGACAGGCTGATTAGAACACCCGCAGTCAATCAAGAAGCTGCCAGAATCAATTATGGCAGGCGAATCAGGGCACCTGGGTTTTAAAAAGGAGCTCATTTCAGTTTGTGGTGTGCGTGCGAGGAGCTGGGAGGAAGAGGTGCAAGAACCTGAGAGTGAGAAGGCTGAGGACTGAGAAGTACAAGCATTATCAGACATCAGGAGGAAGGTCCTGTGGTGAGAATAAAGAAGGTGTTGGGAGGAGGCCATGGGGAAGTAGCCCAGGGAGTTGTAGCTGTCACACAGCTGTTACAGGAGCCACTATAGACAGCTGCAATCCACAGGGCCCTGGGCTGGAACCCAGAGTAGAGGGTGGGCCTGGCTTCCCCCCATCCCTCCATTCCCCCAACTCCCTACTTGAAACCGGAGGAGTTGACCTGGACTGTGGGTTCCACCAGAGGGAAAGGTCTCTGGCCTGTTCCCCGATCCACTAGGTGGATCAGCTGAGACTGCGGGGATTGTTCTTCTTCCTTTTCCCCATGCTGGCCAGTGATGAGGCTAACTGAGTGAATGGCAGATTTGAGCCACGAAAGTGGCCAAACTGAGGGCTGCTGTGAACCTCTGAGGCGAGAAAATCCGCCAATAAGCGCAGGACCCACCAAGGCAGAGGAGGAACTTTGTCACAGTTTATTTTATACTATCTCACTAACATCACTAGTTTACCAGGCTCTAAAATGAGATTAGTTACAACTGCTGGGTCAGTCAAAGTATGTTCACACAGTGACTTATCTAAATATTGGCTCTACTTGTTATTCTCCCCTGTTCAAATATATGAACCCAGTGAACAATGTAAAAATCATCTACTCGTCAGGGCAGCATGAAGTCAGAGAATTCACATTCAATGTTTGATTAAAGTATCTGAAATCACAAATGACTAAGAGCCAGATCTGTGTAGTTTTATTCTCACAATAGAGCCATTTCACATTTTTTAGAAACTTGTATAGAAACACAGCAATTGACATATTGAGACAGAACAATGACCTAGCTAATCCAAAATCCCGTTCACATCAGTTGCTGTCACACCAGATGCTTCAGAGGAATAAACCACCATCACCTCCAAAGGTACAGAATCCTATAATACTATAATGTGATCAGTTTGATAGCCCTAGTAATTTTCTTCTAGCAGTGAGTGTAACTATGGATGCTATTATTAATCTTGTAATATCTAACACTTTTGTGAATCAGACTGAACCCTCTGCCTTAATTATATCCTGCTACAAACAGTGGGTTCCACACATTGTACGTTGGGTAAAAAATGCATCCCCTTTTATCTGTTTTATTTTTTTCCCTTTTACATTGTGTATGTCCATGTGTTTTTGAATTACTGCACAGATTAAAAAAGAGATGACCAGCTGACCACCTCCCTACAATTTGTTATGATGCCTTTATCACTTCTTCCTTTTCATCTAATTAATGCTCATCTTTTAAAATTATCATAGTATAGAAACCCCACCATGCCTCTAATAACTTTCACTGCCTTTCTTTAGACTGTTTCTACTACAGTATGGAATTTGTGTGAGGGATTGCCCAAAGCTGAGTGCAGTATTCAAAGTAAGTTATACCAGTGTAATACAACTGACACTTTAATATTTTTTTAGTACTCTGTCCCTCTGTAAATACACCCTAACCTCTTATTAGCATGTTTCCCATTCCGACAGATACAGCAGACGTCCTAACTGAAGGGTATACAGTGACACCTTGATCCTCTCCCTGAAAACTCTCCAATCTGTTATGTATGAGTAGGTAAAACTGATAATTTCTGTGAGGATTAACTTGTGCTTATCCATGTTGAATTTCATCCTTCTGGAGTTCCTTACAGGCTCCTTAGTACTGACTAATCTAAAGCAATTACTTGCATATATTATTGCTCTTTGCACACAAGTATCATTTAATTTTTCACCTGCATTTCACAATGAGTAGTCATCTGTGCATCTGTATTGAAACTCCCAGAGTGGCTGGCTTTTCATTTACCTGACAAATCTCTAGTGATGCAGTGTTGTTACCGTGCTGGTCCCAGGATATTAGAGAGATAAGGTGGATGAGGTAATATCTTTTATTAGACCAACTTTTGTTGGTGAGAGACAAGCTTTTGAGCTCAGACAGAGCTCTTCTTCAGGTCTGTGAAGAAAAGCTCTGTGTAAGCTCAAAAGCTTGTCTCTCTCACCAACAGAAGTTGGTCCAATGAAAGATATTACCTCACCCACCTTCCTCTCTAAAGTTCTAGTGAGCACACTTCCTACTCCATCTGAGAGTAAGGAACCTCATATGAAATTATTTCTCTATACTTCCCTCAAATAGCTGGCAAATTGCTCAGTGCCATAAGAACTGAGAGCACTGATACCCAATACTGGATCCTACTAAGGACAATTGCTGATGTACTTATGGTGAGTATTATTATTATTAATTTGTATTACTATAGTGCCTAGAAGCCCTAGTCAGAGACTAAGACCTGATTGTGCTATGAGCTACACAGACAGAGCATACACAGATGGTTCCTGACCCAAAGAGCTTATTACAGAGCCTTCAGGATGGGGCCATTGGGCATATCAAAGGTCATCACTCCACATCCCCTAGGAAGAGGGGACGTTTATGTGTAGGGAGCAATTGTGACCTTGTGACCTTGACCAACAACTTTGTGTGCTGAGATCACCCAGGTGGGCTCCCCACCCCAGATCCGAGACATTGGAGACTAGGATAACCGACGGGGATGGGGCCGCAAAGGAAACTCCCTCTACCACCAATATGGGATTCCTCCACCATGTGAGTGATGACAGTAAGGGATCCGGTACCCTGACTACACGGTTAACATTGTGTCTGCTGGGCCCGTAGACCGACGCCAGCTATGCCTATAGGGGCCTGACATGGAGCCGTGTGTCAATTTTTTCTTGTTTATCAACAGCCCTAGATCATGACAGGTGGAGCGAACCAGATCGAGGTGCCACCGCACCTGATCCCGGGACCGGCCCTTGATTAGCAAGTTGTTGAGGTACAGGTAAATTTGAACAGCCCGACGCCTCGGGTAAGCAGCCACTGGTGCCATGCACTTTGTAAACACTCTTGGGGATGACGAGAGACTGAAGGGTAGCACTGTGAACTGGAAATGGCACTGGCCCAACACAAAACGGAGAAACCATCTGTGCCCTTGGAAGATATGGAAATATGCATCCTTCAAGTCGAGGGCAGCGTACCAGTCTCCTAGATCCAGGGAGGGGATGATGGAGGTCAGGGAAACCATGCAGAACTTCAACGTTTTGAGGCGTCGCAGGTTCAAAATGGCTCTCGGGGCCCCTTTCGCTTTCGGGATTAAGAAATAATGGGAGTAGAATCCTTTTCCCCTCATTTCCCAAGGGACCTCCTCTACTGTCCCAATGCTCAATGGTGGATTAACCATTGGGCTGACAGGGCCAGGGGCCCCAGCCTATTGGGGGGCCCTGGAAAAATGGGCACCCTGTGCCCTGACCCCGCTCCCTGACTCTACTCGGCCTCGGGGGGGGCTTTGTTATTCCCATGCTTGTCTCCCCCCCCCCAACCCTTCCCCCACATGTTTCAGCTCATGGGGGCGGACAGAGCAGGATGGAGCAGTTTTCCCCTGCACTGTGGGTCCTGTCTCAGCAGCTGGAAGCCGCCTCCTGGATCCTAGTGCCTGCCTGTTTCCTCTACCACCATGAGTGCAGGGCGGGGGTGCAGGCAAGGGAGGTGGGGTGAGGAGAAAAGGGGAGGGGACGGGAAAGAGAAGAGCATTCGGGAATGGGTGGGGGGAAGTAGGAGCCCAGCATGTTGCATTCCCTGGGCAGCAGCAGCCACAGCAGGGAAGCAACTGCAGCAGCACCTGAGCAGTGACATCACTGCAGCAGCTGGTGTCGGAGTGGTTGCCAGTAGCAGCTGGGGCGCCCCCATTATGTCGTCCCGTCCACCCCAGCACCGGCAGCCCAGGTACCAGTGCAGGCGGGGGGAGAGAGCCAGTGAACCAAGGGGACTGGCTTCAGCATGCATGTGTGCATGTGTCCCCCCAAATATAGCAGTCAAACTACACCTATGGCCCCAGGACTGGAGAAGTTCTAGCTCCCTGCTGCGGCCCCAGGACTGGGGAAGCTCTCCCTGCTGTGGCCTGGGCCATAGGGCAGGAGGGGGACAGAGCTTCTTCGGTCTTGGGGCCGCAGTGCAGGGGGGGAGAAAGGAGCAAGGCTACGGGGCTGCAGTAGGGGGGCAGAATGAGGCTGACTGTATGTGGAACAGGCAGAGAGGTGAGGGGAAGGGACAGAATGGGATGGGGCCGTGGGCAGGGCCGCAGGCGGAAGGGACAGAAGGGGGGTGGGACTGCAGATGGAAGGGGTGGGGAGGGCCCCCCCACTTGCTCTGGCCCCACAAAACCTTAATCTGTTTCTGCCCATGCTGAAGAGGCTGTCGACCTCCTGGGCGAGCAGTTACTCATGAGAAAAGTCCCTGAAGAGGGATGGGGAAGGGGCGTAGGAGGGACGGGCGGCCAAGAACTGTAGGGTGTAGCCCAAAGAGATTATGTTGAGCACCCAACAGGCTCAGGTTAGCCAGATCAGGCCGACTGGAAGGGGCACAGGCAGTTGAGGAAAGAGTAAGAAGGTGGATCTTGGGATGTGACGGGGGCGCCG